GAATACATCTCTGCTGAGCCCACAACACCCCCTACCTCCCACGTCCAGCCCCAGGTTGCCTTCCAGACTGTAGAGATCAAGATGGCACCAAGCCCAGCCTCTGCTGAAAGGAGACAGACTTTTTCTACCTTCAGGTAGACAAGGACTTGGCTGGGCTGGGAGAATACAGGCCGGGTCCAGTCTGTCTCTTCCTGAGTACTTGTGGTTTTATTTTAAATAGAAGAGCCACGCTCCACCCAGGCCCAGTTTGTAGTCTGTTGGAGAGCTCAGCTGGCCCATGGCTGGGAGTGTGGCCAGGTCATACCACTGGTTGCTGTGCCCTGACAGCTGTGCTTGTGGGAGTGGTGGTAGTAGCCACACCCTGCCCCCTCGCTTTGTTCTCACCCAGCTGTGCTGGGCCATGCCCTCAGGCATGGAGGGACACACACTCCCCCCCCCATAATGGTACCAGCATTAATTTATTAAAATTAATCCCGAAAAGTAACCATACAATAAATTTAAAAAAAATAGAATCTTGTAAAAAAAAAAACCCAGGTGCCCCCATGCCACACCTCCAGCTGGCAGCACCATGGGGCAGGTCTGGTCGGGAAGGGATGGGGAGATGAGGGTGACCCCCAGCAGCCTGGGGACAGCCTCAGCAGCACTCTGCCAGCCTCAACAGCAGGGCTGCAGTGGGACTAGAAAAGCTGCTGAGGCTCAGCCCCGCAGGGTAGGGCCGGGCACAGCAGCGTGGGGCTGGCAAGGGGTGGTACAGGGTTGGTGGGCCCTGCTCAGCACCTACCCCCTCCCACAAGCAATCCTGCTGGCTCCAGTGCTGGGGAACCTGCCTGGGCCCAGCCCAGCTGGGGACCCGGCTGGCTGGGGAGCTGGCCTGGCGGGCGCATCTATGGGAGAGCGGGGCCCGGAGCCCTTTCTAGGTTCCTGTTGACTGGTGCCAACCCTTGTCCCAGGCTGCTGTTGGGGTCATGGGAGGCAGATGGCATGGTGCCCTGGCTGGTGTTGGAGGGTGTGCGGACCCGGTCTCACTGGCCTCACCTTCACGGGTCTTGGCCCACAGGGAGCAGCGCGGGTGTGGTATCTCCCTCTGCAGAGCAGGCAGGGGCTGGGCCGCAGAAGAGAGGGGACAAGAGCATGTCCATTTCTCTGTCTCCCTGTCTCCTCCTGCGACCCTCCGCAGCTCCATCCCAGGGCTGCCCCTGCGTCTCACACACTCTTCGAGTAGCCAAAGATGCCCACAGGGAGGTACTTGACGTGCGTTGGCCACTGTGCTGCCAGCTGGAAAAACTTCACATCGTTCCACTCCACCCCATCTATGGAGACTGAGAGGAGAGGGTGCAGTGAGGCGCAGGCCCGCCACAGGCAGCCTCTGCTGCTTGGTCTGACACCTACAGCTCCGTGGGGCTTGCACCTCCCCTCACCTCGCAACATGGTGTTCTGATGCTTAGCTGTGCAGATGAGGCGTGTGATCCCTTCAATGACTTGGCTTTTGGGCTCCAGGTCCTTCTCTTTTGGTTTCTTGCTCAGGAACATCACTGGGGGCCGAGGACAGACACGACCAATGTTAGGATGTCCCCACCTGGCCCTGGGTGGGAGCCCTCACCCCAGGGCTGGCTGCACTGACTGGTCCTTGCTGGGCCGGGTCTCAGCCCTGCCCTCCTGTGGGCTCCCCCCCTGCCTTTTTTGCAATGGACTATGGCCCCACAGCCGGAGAGCACCCCAGGGTGGGCTTGGTTACCTTTCTTGTTTTTCTCCTTGGTGACCACGGTCATGGCCATGGTGCTAGGGGGCACCAGCTCCCCTGTGCCGGGGATGCGGCTGACCTGGAGTGAGCGGAAGTTGCTCTTGAGTGTGTTCTTGATACCCGTCTCCCGCTTCTCGCCCTCCTTCTTCCTGTCCAGCCCTTGTGTTGTCCAGTAGTCCACCTGCAGGCCCATCACCTCCACACCAGGGCTCAGAGACCTGGGCAAGATAGGCAGCACTATGCAGCACACGGGTGCTGTCCTTGCTCCTCTCCCTCCCCATAGCCCAGCTGCAGCCTGCCCTGGGAGCACGCTGGCCCAATAACCCCAGGATGCAGCAGGCTGGCCAGCGAGCACCTCAAACCCCCCCACCCTAGCACCCACTGCCTCAGACTGAGTGGGGCTTCCTTACCCAGCACCTGAGAGGCCACTGCTGACAGACGGGGAGGGTGGCGGGGTGCTCACAGTCTCCTTGCCATAAGGGGCTGCTCCACCGGTGGCTGGCGCTGAGCTCAGCAGGGAGGGGGTGCAGACTGTGGCATCATCTGAGTCCACTGGGGAGGAAGAGTGTGGGTCGGGGTGGGGGGACTGGGGGACACCGACAAGGGCCTCCCCACAGTGGAGAAGGGAGCCAGGGACTGTGGGCTCCCAGGGACTCACCAGAAGCGCTGAAGGACTGCTCCACCAGGCCCACCTTCACCACCTGCAAGGACAGACAAGTCAGATGATCCCCAGCATCAGCAGGGCTGTGCACTGCCCCTCTCCCCCCAGCCCCAATTGCCCGCTGGTCCCTCAACACACTCACCCCCACAAAGGGTACAAACTTCTGGCAGGAGTCCTCATCGGGGCTGCACAAGGAAAAGAGGCTGGTCAGGGTCTGGGTGTGCTGAGCACCAAGTGCCATGCGGCTAGCCTTGTGGCCCAGGGACCCCCAAGCTGGCAGGGGCCAATGTTGGCTCACAGCCACTGGGACTGTCTCCTTACCCTCCCTCCCACGGGACCCCCTGTCCCCGACATGGCAGCACAGGGCACACTACACAAGGAGGCAAGGAGTTGGCCCCTCCGGTGCTGGGAGAGGGCTTGCATGCGGGAGGGCAGCCCTGCCCCGCTTTGGAGTCACGGCTCCTCTGCACAGCAAGAGGGATGGATGCACATGGGGGTAAGAGGGGGGCCAGGCAGCGGCACAGCAAGCACAAGCCAATACCTGATATAAAAATCAAAATAGAGACTTCTCTTCCTTGGGTGCCAGAAACCAAGAGAAGGGAGAGGTGAGAGTGCAGCTGGAACACGAGCGTCAACCCCCGGGGCACAGTGCCGGCTCACGGCCCCCAGCCCAGCCCAGCCCTGGCAACCGGTCCCCACCGTTGGTGCTGCCACAGCCCGCAGCTGTTGGAGGGGGCAAGCGCACCAGCGGGTGACGGGGGATGGTGCTGCAGGCCTCTCACTGTGGAACCCCAGCTCCCCTCAGCACCATGCTGCTCGCCGGCAGAGTAGAGAGTGGGGCCTCACTCGCTTGTCCCCCGTCTCCCACAGCCCTGTCCTGGGCACAGCCCAGACTGGGGCCACACGAGGCAGGACAGGCACCTCGGGGCCATGCTCACCTCTTCTGCTTGTACGTCAGCATGGCCTCAGAGATGGGGAGCTGGTGAGAGAGGCTGGCTCCGGCGATGAACTGGGCAACGCGGCCTGCAATGTCCACAGTGTCTGTGGGCGCAAAGAGCCGTGAGGGCCTTGGTGGCAGCTGGGCTCCCCTTCAGGGCACTGCTGGCCCCAGCCTGCCCTGCTCCTCACCTGCGATGGGTGGCTCAGCCCTGCTGAACAGCTCCCGCCATGCTGTGTCCAGGAAGAGAGTGCTGTATTTGTTATCCACCGAGGCCAGGTACTTGGCCAGAGGGTGAGAGCCTGTGGGTGAGAAGGGTGACATTGGCTCCAGGTGGGGGAGCCCGGGTTGGTGGGAGAGGACAACCCTGGGGCCGGGCTCATAGTGGCTCTCACCCAGTGGCACAAGCAGGAAGCGAAGGTAGTTGAGCCAGTCGGGTGTCTTGCTGGCCAGTTGCTCCACAAAGAAACGGAGGACAACACTCAGGTAGCTCTGGTCCCCCGCCACCACCACCTTCACCGGGGGGGGCATGTGGGAGTTACAGTTACAGCTGCCAACGGGAGAGAAAAGGAGACCGTGAGGGACGCGCAGTGGCTCAGCAGGTGGGTCTGGGGGCAGGGGACGTGCCCCACCAGGCCAGCTGACCCAGCATCAGAAACCCATTGCTGACAATTTCCAGCTTGCTGAGCACTGCTGTGGGCTCAATCAGCACTGGGATCCCCCACTTCCCCAGGGCCTACACTTGCTCATATAGTTGTGTCCACAATCCCAAAGGGTCCTAACGAGCCCTGGGGGAGCCAGAGCCCTTCCCAGCCCTTCTCTACAGTCATAGGGAGCCGCCTGGCTGAGCCCAAGCTGTACTCACTATCGCTGGATGCGGGAGACGGTGGTGTTGAAGGCTGCCTGGATGTCCGCCACGGAGCAGGTGGATACGACCAACTGCTTGTGTGCCTGGAGCTGCTCACTCACGTACTGCCAATGCAGAGAGCTCGGGTTAAGGAACCCTGGGGGGCCATGGCTGTGCTGGCCAGCACCAGCCCATGCCTGCCCTGGTGCCCCCTGGGATAGAGCTGGGGCCCCTGTCCCCACCCATGCCGTGCAGGGAGGCTGAAACCATCAGGTCACCCCTGGCTGCATGCCCGAGCATCCCCGCTCCTCCTAGCTCTGCTCCAGGGAGCTGGCTGCCCCAGCCCCCTGCTCTCACCTTTGAGCACAGCAGTCACCACCCTGCGAAGGCAAGGGCAAAACTGTCCCAAGAACCAGGCTCTCCTCCACGAGATAGAGGGTTTGGTCCAGGGACCCTCTGATTTAAATCCTGCCATCCCACAGCAGGGCCCCACTCTAGGCTCAGTCCCCCTCTGCTCATTCCCTTCTCGCTCTCTCCCACTGTGGCACTCCAAAATCCTTCTGTGCCTCTTCAGGTGTCTGCATGCAGCTGAACAGTGGTAAAACAGGCAGTCATGCTAGACAAGGGAGCTTAGAAGATGCCATGACAGGGTCTGGGAATGGGCTCTAGCTCTTGTCCATCAGGAAGATGATGGACAAGAGCTAGAGCAGGAACACGCCAACGATACGCGGCTTGGGTCAAGACTCCACCACCTCTCACTGAGAAGCTGTTTCTTCTGCCACAAACCCTGCCTTAATTTTCCAGCACTGTTTCTGGATGTCAGATGCAGCTGCAGGATCCCAAAGGGGTCTCACCAGTGCCAGTGCTTTATGTAACTGCTGTTTGCATGTTTGCACACACGTACATGGCCCTGCTCACCTTCAGCAGTCAACTCCTCCATGCATTGGGGAGGCAGGTGCTTGTCAGGGGCTGGGCCCATCCTCACATGGACATGATGGTGGTCAGGATGAGGCAGGAAGGCCTCACATGCCTCCTTGCCCAGAGACCCCAGCTCTGACAATGCAATTAATGCTCCCTGGGAGTGGCGGGCTACACTCTCCCATCTCTGAGTGGGAAATGGCACCTCTGCTGCTTCCCGGGGCCTGGTGCCAGCAGAGGGAGTCTGGCACCTCTGCCAGGGCACCAACAAAGCTCTGACCAGTGTGGTCACTGGAAGCCAGGACCAAGCAGTGAGGACACAAGGCACAGTCTATTAACCAGTCTTTCTGGGACTGCTCAGGACATCATGCTTTGAGGATCCAGCAATGCTGGTGTGTGGCAGATGACAGGGTAGACACACCAGACTCTCATGTATGTAGCTCAGCACTGTGAAATGCACTGTCTCCCTGAAAGAAGGGCCACATTGGGGGAGAGGAGGGCACAGCTGATGCCAGTTTTCCTAGGACACCCTGCCATGGTTGGGACAATCCCCTGGGACCCTGCTTACAGCTCCCCCCATGCATCCAGCTCCCATCACACCTACTCACCTGCCCCTGCCACTCAGCGACATTCACTAGCACAATGCTCTCGGGAAGCTGCTCATCTGAGACTAGGATCTGGTTCAGCTGATCGTAAACAGATTTTCGGGGCACCTATGACAGCATCATCGTGAAGGTTAACCCCAGCCAGCTGCCTTAGCCGCTCTGCCCATGGGTGAAGGCCTGGCAGGGCTCTCGAGTGAGAAGCCTCCAGGTGAGGCGGCTTCCAGAGGGCCTCACCTGCGTGCTGTGCCATGAGTCTGGAGAGCTCTCGCTGTCCAGGCTGCTGGTGCGGCCACCCTGTCCCTTTGAGCTCTGCCGGTCCTTCACAGAGGTGCTGCGGGGACGCCACAACTGCTTGCTCTCTGCCTTGCTGTGAGTGAGAAGCAGGAGAGGCAACACTGTTGAGGAAATCCCATCTCCACCAACCCCCACTCACTCCAGGGAGCCAATGTGTGCCCTCTCAGCCCTGGCACGGGGCACAGACCCGCCTTACCTGGGAGACACAGCACTGGGGAGCTCAGCTTTGGTCCCGGGGCCCAGCTGGGCCAGCCTGTCCACACTGCCCTCCCTCGTGGCAGCCTCTGCGGGGGCCAGCCGTGAACATGTCTCCTCCGCAGCCAGCTCCTGAGGGCCACACACAGTCACTTCGCACACACCGCTCTCCCTGCCCTGCTCCCTGCACCCATGGGTGCCCCCATCCAGGATAGGCCTGGTGGCCCTGCTGGAGAGCCAAGGCTGCAGGGCCTCAAGGGGGCTGAGCTGCATCTCCTGCAGACCCTAACCCTCCTTCCACGCTTGCTGCTCTCCAGCCCAATCTGCTTGTCCCCCCAGTCCTGCTCCCAGGCTGGTGGGCACCCCTGGTACCCCAGAAAGAAAGATGGGGCCTGCGGGAGCTCCAGCCCCACTCCACATCCCGTAGCCTGGACTCACCACTGCAGGGACCTCCACTCCTGGCTCCTCCTGTGGTCGCAGCACTCCTGGTTTCCGCTTGTCTGCCTCGCCCTGGGGAACAGGGAGTGGGGTCAGAGCAGGATGGAGCGCCCAGAGTGGGGCAGCTGCCAGCGACCCATGCCTGGCCTCACAGAATACATGCTCCCACAGGGGAGCCCGGTGTCCCCCTGGGACTGGCCCCAGAGGATGCCCCCCATTGCTACCTGTCTGCCTGCGCTGGGAAAAAGAAGAGGAAAGAAGGGAAGGAGCAGCCCCAGGCAGGTGCTGCCAGGAGCTGTGGTCTCAGAGGGAGCTGCAGGCACTGCGGGGATGCTGGGCTGGCTGGGGAGGGAAGGGGGCAAGAGGTGGTGGTGGTGGTGTAACTCACAGGGCTGCCCGACTCTTGATCCTGCCCTTTCTGGCTGTGCAGACTGCCGATTTCAGTCTGGGAACCAGAATGAGAGACTCCCTCAAAGAAACGCCTGCAGAGAAACAGACAGACGAACGGACGGACAGACAGACAGACGGGAGAGAAAAAGGCAGGAATAAGAGAAGAACAAAGTCACCATGATCCCAGCACACCCCCGCCAGCCTGTCCCAAGCACAGAGCACAGGGCCAGACACCCAAGTGTCCGAGCGACTCACAGCCTAGGAGCAAACCTGCCAGCAGACTGCCAGCCCCACACACCATGGTCCGCTGCAACAATGCTGGGTGCAGGGACAGGATGGGGCCACCCCAGACCAACCGGGCTAAACCTGTGACCCCGGTGAGTTGGAGGCAGGGTCCCTGTTTCCTAGCCAGCAGCGATTTCTCTCTCAGGTGATCCCCTACCACTGCAGTGCAGGGTGAGGAACCGCCACCTTGCCCCATCTCACTGGTATATGGTCTCTGTCAACACCACAACTCCAACGTGCTGCTGAGCCTCTCTGCCGCCTCTGCACCAACACAACTCGCACAGATTTCTGCTGCCTTCCCTTCTGCTCCCCCTTTTCCAGGGAGGGCTCCTTGCCTCTGACTGCTGCTGCTGCACACTTCCAGCAGCAGCTTCCACCTTCCCTTTCTGCTTTCCCCTTTCCCGAGGCTCTGAAGACCACAGTATTGCACACAGAACCACTCCGCAGGTAGCGCAGCAGCACAGCAATGTCCTGTTTTGTTCCCCAGCACTTAAATTTGCCTTTTTTTAGGTCTCTGAGCTGATGTTTTGGTAGAGCTACACAGTGCAACTCCAAGGTCCTGTTCCCAAGTCACAATGGTCAACACAGGAACTCCCTTGGGACAGCAGGACTGTCTCTGCCACCACAGTGTGAGCTTCCACCTTTGTTTCCCCTTTTTCCACCCATTATTTATTTGCCAAGGACCCCCTCCACATCCTGTGGGCTGCTAAAAGACCAGTCTTTAGGAAACAAGCAGGCTCAATCACTGGGTCTCACCTGTCAGCTTTCCCAGGACCCCTTGCAGCAACTGCAGCCCATCTGCAATGTGTGACTTTCCCGCAGGAGGTCTGAGCCAGCTTCCCTCTAAGCTGTGTGTATGTATTTGCTCACTAACTCCCAGGAAAAGTTTCTCCTGATTCATCTGGTGGGCAGATGGGGATACCAGGTTGCAAGTTTCCAGGGATGGCCACAGAAGTGTAGGATACAGAGCAGTTCTTCTGTTAGGACTCTGCCAGGGTTTCCATTGTTTTCTATTGCCCTCATCTGGATATATCTGCAGCTTTCTGCAGGATACCTACAGACCTCTGAACACCTGGCTGCTCCATTTACTTTCCTTTTAACATGTTTCCTCATTTGTATACAGCACGCTGTGCTGCCAGGCACAACAGTGTTTGTCAGGTCCTTTGCTTTTACTGCTCCTACAAGGACATTTCATTTCAGCAAATGATGGTCCCCACCACACAGCAGCTCTTCAGCAGCAGTGTTTATACACTGGCTGGGAGAAGTCAAGGCTCAATTTTCCTCTCACTGACTCCATGACCAGCTGCTTCACGACATGTTCATTTACCAAAGCTACAGGTTTAGAGTCAGCATTGTGCCCTGGTGGGACATTTTCTCCAGGTCACATAGGGATAAATGATGTCTCCTGTTATTAACATATTTCTGCTCTCTCCACCCCTCCCATCTCTGCTACAGGATCTCAGGCATTGTCACCACCCTGTACAGTCATTACTCTACACTTGCCTTTTCTCAGCCAGCAATTTCAATTCACACAGACTATGTTAATAACTTAAGAGTCAAACCAGAGAAATATGTAAGTTTTCATTCATTTTCACCCCCCCAATCAGCATCTCTCCCACACTCCTCTGTACTGTCCCAGTAATCCCACCAGAATGTGACATACCCCTGGTGCCACTAGCACCTCAAAAAGGTATCTTCATCCTCTCCTTTTTCTTAGACCTTGGATGTGTCTAGATTGTATACACTTGGTCTGGCTTTCAACACCCCATTTAAATGGGTCTGTCTACCCCTTCCCCATGGAAGCTGTGTCTGTTTCTGCCCTCTCTCACTTGCAATTCAGCAGCTTTCAACCCTAGAGGATGTGTCACACTGAGCACAGAGCTCTTCTGCAATTCTCAGCTTTCCCTGTTCCGCAGTTTAAAGGTTCTCCTATAGGCATGACTGAGTCTGAGTCTCAGCAGGTTGAGATTTAGGTAAATCCCAGCTCTTCTGCACAGCCTCCTTCTGTTTTCAACGAATTAGCCCTGTCTTCCCCACCCACTTTCCCAGTCACCTATGGAGACATTTGCTCCTTCATCTCTGATCTTCAATCGAAGGCTCTGACTGTTGAGGTCTTACCCAACAGCCTTAGTTCTAGCTCCAGTTTTGCCCCAGTGCAGGAGCAGCCTACAGCTGCATGGCCTCCCTGGCCAATCAAAAGGATGGCTATCTGCTCCCAACACCACTGGCCCAATCCAGGACACCGGCCACTGCTCACCCTTAAGGACTACCTTAATGGCCTTGCTCCACAGAGACCTTCACAGTGTCTAGCAAGGCAGTCTATGACAGTAAATAAATCCAACGTGAGGATCACATCTTGAATTTACAGGCTGGGCTGGAAGGTCATCACCAGCTGAGAAGGCTATGCAGGGCCTTGGAACCACGCAGTCTACACTAAAGACCTTGGCAGCCACCTCCCACATCTCCTTAGAAAAGTACAGACCCAGTAATGTGAATTCAAGGGGATACACACTCAGCACTGCCAGAAACTGAGGCACTAGAGAGCAAACCAAGCTAGGGACACTTTGTGAACAGGCTGAAAAACAGCCCAGGGCGCAATAAGCTGTCCTACCAGAGACAGCAGCAAACACCCAAGGAAGACTGTAACGGCAGGTACAAGCACAAACCAGCGCTTACTCTAGGATGCTCTCCCAGTGACCAGATGTTTGCAAGTAGACACTTGCAGACCCAGAGCAGGGTCTTATATTTAAATACTCTCAATAGACTTTTCTTACAGTTTACATAGTTTTACATAGTTTACATACATAAACCGTTATCTGACCACAAAAAGACATTCCTTCTTCTCCCACAGCACCTTTGTTTCTTTAAAGCCTTTGATGGGAGACCATGTGAAACTCCTTTCGGAGTCCAAGCAGACCACCTAAGCAGCTCCCCCTTGCCCATACGCCTGCTGTCTCCTTCACGACTTGTGGGTTTGTGGAAGACATGACTTCTGTCACGTTCCTGTTTCTTCCCCAGTGCCCCATGGGTTCCTGAATCCAGCAGATTTAATTTCAAACAGTTTGCCTGTGGCAGACCAAGTCTGCTACCCCTGCTAAGTACCTTCAGCAGGGATTCCAGCTAATCCAAATTATATTTCAATACTGAACTATAGAAACAATAATGACAAGTAAGCTTGGCTTGGCTAGAAGAGACCCAGCGCACCGTGAGGCAGCCAAGTAGAAAGACAATAAAAGGCAACTTTCTCACAAAAGGACAGCATGGAAACAGAACAGCCATGAGCAGAGAGGCCAGGTGAACGCAGATCACGTGGGAGAAAAGCCTGGTTTCACTGCATGGTCCACTGGAGACCTCTGTGCCAAGTCAGCAGTGCTTGGCAGAGCAAGTCAAGCCAGTGGGGGCCTGGGGAATGGGGTGAGGAACATCGCTGATGGTTGCTAGTCACATGTCTCCACAAAGGGTGGGAATGCAGCACGCAGATCTCACAGGGACACAAGGACTGGCCCAAGCAGTCACAAAGGGCTCAAAATATAGGCATGCTTCAGTGTGGAGAGCCCTGAGAAGGCCAGGGCTGTCAGCAGAAAGACAGGAGAGCTGGGAAGAGCGGGGGCTTAGATCAAGTAGGTACTCGTCCAGCAGATCAGTAAGTGTCAGATGCTGGACATTAAATGAGACTAAATGTGAAGTAAGCCAGTTTTAACGGGCAGTTTTGAGTTTATTAAACAGGATATGCAAGTGAGTAGCTCAGTGGTGCCAACAGAAGATGGCAATGGGAGCGGAGACAAGACAATGCCTGCATTAGCCCAAGCAACAGAAAAGTGTCAGAGGGCATTTCTCCAGGTCCCATAGACTGTGCTGTTGGCCTGTGACTCCCTGCAACCCTTACCTCAGGGTGGGCTTGGGTGTACTGTGCACACTCTCATTGTCCTCAATCTCCGGGCCACTGTCACTGTTGTTGCACTCTTCCAGGCTGTCATAGAGCAAGCCCAGGTCTTCCTCCACCTCCTGGGTCTGGTCTACAGGGTCAGAGTCCAGGACCTGTGGGACCAAGCCCAGAGGGCAATGAAGAGATACGGAGTCACCTGCATCCCAGGCCAGGCACATACAAGCTCCCTCCCAGCCACGAGGCACACCACGACACTGTTCCCACCTCAGGGAGCCAAATCCAGCCTATGGAAGAAGCAAGTGACACTGTCATTGGGCCAAAGGAGGATGCCATGAGCATGACCTCCAAAGGAGTCTCACACACCCATCATACTTACTGGGAGTTAAGACACCTGGGAGGACCCCCACTGGCTGTGCCGCACACTCAGTGCAGGCTCCCACCCAAGGCCAGCTACCCGCAGACTGATGTTAGCCTGCTCTCAGTCATGAACAGGATTGCCCCTGCAATGCCAGCTCCTAGGGCAAAGCCAGCGTATGACAGCACCCTTCTACCCCTGGCCCCTCTCCCCAACAGGAAGGTGTTTTTGATTTGTGCATGAGGCTCAGAGATGCCTTCCTGAGGCAGAAGGCTTTGGAAAAGCCAAGGCCCGGTCTATGCTGTGTCTCACACCACGTTTGGTAACACCCCTGAGCACCTGCAGTCATGCCTTGTGCTCCCAGTGAGTGGGAACCAGCACTCTGACACCTACACATCTGCAGGAGACACTGCCAGGTGGGGCAGCCTTCCCGCTTCTTACCTCCTCCGTCACTTTAAATCTCTTCAGCAAAGCCACAAATTTCTGCTTGAAGTTTGGTTGCTAAAGCAAAACAAGGGAAGAAAAAAGATCAGCAAAACTACCAAACCAGGTTCCAAGATGACTAACGTACAGGCCATGGTTGCTCTCTTTAACATGCCATCGGCTCCTTTCTAGGTCCACAGGCTCAAGGTCAGCTATGATCTCCCTCGCTCTTTAAATTTGCTGTAGGATTTGGACTAAATCTGGACTCCGCAAGAAGCCGCTGTGTCTGGGCATAAGGGAGGGTGCAAGGACTCAGACTCTCTGCTACAGGCTGGAAAAGCACTTTCTCTCCATTTAAATCCCCTTTCTCCCCAGACCATCTGGTTGAGGAATGCTGCCTTCAAGCGAGAAAAGATGTGGAACAAACTCAGGAATAAGGTGCCCAGGGATCTGCAGGGCTGAAGCAGATGGGGACGAGGAGATGCTTGGAGAGCAGGAGGCTGACAGGGCAGCTCCCTCCTTCTGCTGACAGGCAGAAGACCTGCTAATGGCTCACCCTTCCCTGCACCAGACTTAGCCTTTCTCAGGGAGGGAAAGAGAAGAACCATGTCACAGCAGCAAGTCAAAACTGTGTTGCACACAGATCATCATTGATAGGAAGCCAAGCTAAACACAGTACAGACCATGAGCTGGGATACAGCTCTGAGCAACAAGCTAATTCATTAATAGCAAGAGGTTTGCCCCTTCTTCTCAGAGCCAGGGGCTCTCTCCCCTGCTCTGCACCAGTGCCAGCATCCCCCCCAAGCCCCCCTCACTCCCTGCAGGGAGGGGTGGAAGTGAATCCCTTCCATCCCTTTGATCACGTTGTAAATGCTGATGTTACTCTGGTCATTGATGTCGTTCGGATCATTTTCCTCCTAGCCTTCTTGGTTTTCCTCAAGTCATCCTCTTCATCAAACAGATCCTGCAGGCAAAAGGTCACAGCACATCACAGCAACTCAGTGCAGGGAGCAGCATCTCCTAGAAGCATTCCTGCCCCACGCTTGCCCCCTATTTTGAAAAGCTTCGGTCCACTCTGCTCCCAAAGTCTTGCTTCTCACTTCTCCCACCTCTCTCCATGCAGCTCCTTCTCCCTCCTTAGCACTGTCCCCCAATAGACCTTCTTCCCCAGTGCCTTTGTGCCCAGGCCCCTCCAGGGGAACGCGTACCAGCAAGATTCAGAGGAGAGACAGCAGCTTTCTGCAACAGTCCTTGTTACAACCTGAAACTCTTCTCTCCGCACTCACCAGCCTCCCTGTGACCCATGTGTTGTTCTCCTGCTCTCCCCTCTCCAGGGTTAGCTCAGAGGGTGCAGCACCTGAGCTCACAAAAAGTGTTCTTCCAGGGATCAGCCTTAATGATACACACAGCTCCCAGGGGCACGGGGCCCTGATGTGTTAACCCAGCACGATGGGACAGGTAATGTGGAGGACCCTGAACAGGGGTTTGTCCCTGTGCTTGATCAGCATGCTACCACAAGTCTTTTTTGGCCTCGAGTGTAGGCACCACAACAAGAAGAGAGCAAACAGCAGTAGCAAAGCTCATCACAGGGCTGGGATGGGTCTGCCACCTCTGACCATTTTCAGACACAAACTGCACTTCTTCCTAAAAGCTCTGTTCTCTCTCAGAGAGGACAGCGTCTGGCCTGTTATCACAGGGAGATGGGAGAATCGTGGTGCAAGGTGGAGGGGGCTCAGCAGGGGTTTTGTGCTGCAGACCAGATGGCTCCAAGGACACATGGGTGATACCTATGGCTCTCCAAAGTCCCTTGCCCTTGCCCTACCATGGACTTGACAGCAGCCCACAGTTCTTCCTACTGTCAGGTATCGTGGCTCTCTGCCCTCTGAAACCATGACAAATGTTTACAAGGGAGATGAGAGGGCTCAGGGTGATCGAGACCCTCAACCCCTGATTCTTGCCCCAGAAACGGGACCAGGACATAAGCCACCTTGCCAGGCCTCCCTTACCTGACCCTGCACAGCATCATCGCTGGCTTCCTGCTCTGAGGAGAAGCTGTCATCCTCTTCTTCAGAGTAGTTATCAATGTCTGGGGAGCGATCTGAAAGCAGACAGTGCAGATGCCACAGCTAAGCACGATGCCTGTCATGGCTTCAGTGAAATGACTGGTATTGCTGGCAGGCGCTTGGGGGACGCACTCCGTTACCCATGTCCTGTCCCAAACGCTTGCCTTCAGGTCTGTGATGAGCGCTAACACACCTGAAGCTTTGATTTTAGGACCTGAGGGGACACTCCCGTCCTCATGGTCAATGGGCTGACTGGACAAAGAGTAGATGCTGATTTCAGCCACTCGGATGTTCACATCCTTCATGTTGCTGTGGAGGCCCAGAAGCTGCCCGCCATCCGTCGGATGCTGCATCACCTAGGCAGATAGACAAGCCCCCTGCTAGGGTGACACAATGGCAGCTGGCAGCCCACCCCCTCTGTCTTATAGCTAGCCAACAAGCCAGAGCACTCGCAGCACCGAGCGCCTGCCAGCTGGCCCAGCTCCCTTCCCAGCACTGGCACAGGGAGGCCATGTGAAGCTCCCCTCTGTTCCCAGCACCCTGTACCTCGGCCATGTTAATGATGCCCACTGCAAGGGTCTTGTAGCCCAGGATCGTGCGGTTCTTGTATCTCTTCCTCCGCTGCAGCATGATCTGCAGTTTGTTGCCATCTCTCTTGAGGAAGTGTGGGTACTGGGGAAGGGAAGCACAGGGAAGATGGCAGCATGAGGGCAGGGCTCAGCGTGACACACAGGTAGAAAACTCATCCTCAGTGCTGATGTACAGCAGGATCTGACCTGCTGAGCTTTGAGGTGACCCTCAAAGGTCACCTGCGCTCCGCATCATCCTCCAAATCCACATTGCCCAGCAAAACAACCCCTGGAGCAATGGAGCAGCTGGCCAGCAGCAGGAATCTGTGCTGTTATGATCTGAGCATGAGCAACCACAGGAGGCCCCTCCTCAGAGGCTGCCCCCTTCACGTTGAGCCCCCAAAGCCGTGCTTGCCGAGAAATGCCAGGTGAGGGGAGCACCAGGGAGCCCAGGGGACCAGGCAACACAAGGTACCTGCAGTGAGAAGGTCAGCTCCAGCTCGGTCTCCATCAGGCCGCCAGGCGGGAGGACGTATTCATTTGATCTCAGGACTCGCTTTGAACCCTACAACAAGATTGGTAGACGCACACAGCTAAGCTGGAGCATCTTGGCCACAGACCCCACTGCACCACACACACAAGTCAATGGTGTTCACAATCCACAAGGAAAGAGCCAGTGCCTTGACTCTGTTCTGTTCCACCTAGCAGAGCCACCTTACACACACCAATCAACTCTTCGCAAAAGCCTGCAGTTTCTCCTGAGCTGCCAAAAGCCCCTTCTCCTTGCCCACCTGCCAGGGAGCACTTGCTCTTCCCAAGCCTGCTCTGCTTAATCTGGCCCCTTGCACCTGGAGCCCACCGGATGCCGTGGAGGGGGACACCGCTAGAGCCAGAGGGAGCCATGCATACAGCACCAGCAGGGGGAGGAAAGGGTCCCAACACACTCCCTAGCCAGGAAAGGGACAGATCCTGGAGTACATCTCTGCCCCCCAGCAGATGGACCCAGTGCAGACCCCTGCCCAAGCACAGCTGGTAGGATGGCGCTGCTGGGACCAAGGCAGGATGTCCCAGGGGAACAGGGGTCCCCCTGCTTGCCCAGCTTGTCTCAGAAAACTCCTCCTAGTCTTTTCCTCAGGCAACAGTCCTTGTCTCTCCACATACACAAATCTTTTTCCTTTACTTCTGTCCTATCTTTACTATCTCTATGGCTTGGCTGCTGACAGAGACACTGAATGACTTGGGGGATGAAAAATGCTGTCTGCATGCACCAGGCTCTCTTGATCGCAGGGTAGCACAAGTCATGGACCCCCCAAAAGGCCCATGCCCACTGGCTGTGTCCCCACAGGGCTATGGGACCAGCTCCAAGTATAAAATAGCCTATGGTGATTCTTCACTCTCTCCTGCCTCCCTGTGAATGCGCCAGCAAGCTGATACATTGATCTAGGGAGGCAAGAGGATAGGCCAGTACAGCTGTTCTTGCAAATCAGTTATCAATGAATCATAGAATACCAGGTTGGAAGGAACCTCAAGGATCATCTTGTCCACCCTTTCTTGGCAAAAGCACGGTCTAGACAAGATGGCCCAGCACCGTGACCAGCCAAATCTTAAAAGTGTCCAATGTTGGGGAACCTACCACTTCCCTGGGGAGATTATTCCAACAGCTGATTGTTCTCATTGTGAAAAATTTTCCTCTTGTGTCAAATCAGAAACTCCCCAGGAGTAACTTGTACCCGTTATCCCTCATCTTTTCCATGTGACTCCTTGTAAAAAGGGAGTCTCCATCTTTGTAGCCACCCTTTAAATACTGGAACATGGTGATAACGTCTCCCCTTCCAGGTGGGGCCTGACAAGGGCTAAGTAGAGTGGGATAATGACTTCTTTATCTCTGCTGGTGATGCCCTTGTTGATGCAACCCAGCATCCTGTTGGCTTGCTTTGCTGCAGCAGCACACTGTTCACTTATATTGAGCTTGCCGTCCACCAGGACCCCCAGGTCCCTTTCCACAGAGCTGCTCCCCAGTTCGGTAGATCCCAGCCTGTGCTGCACTCCTGGATTATGTTTTCCCAGGTGCAAGACCTTACATTTGTCTTTGTTGAACTTCATAAGGTTCTTGTTAGCCCACTCTTCCAGCCTATCCAGGTCTTCCTGCAGGGTGACTCTCCTTTCTGAAGTGTCCACTTCCCCACTCAGTTTGGTATCATCGGCAAACTTCATCAGGGTACACAATTGCTTTTGTGAGCACTCCTTAATTTAAACTGTGGGCTAGTGAGCAGATGGGTCAAAGCTAACCAAGTAGGCACAGCAGTCCAAAGGAACCGGGTCCCACCTCACATATGTTGCCACTTCCCAGGACCTCATTGCATGCCCATACCCTTCCCAGCTTGATCCTGACAGATGCCGTGGTCCGCAGGATCCTAAGTTGGCTGCGGCCAGAGACCTAGATTTGGCTAAGGTTAGGTGAGGTTAGAGCCTTGGTGAGGTTAGAGCCCCCAGCTCTTCATCTCCAATGCAAATGGGACAGCAGCCCAGAAGTCATGACAGGAGCATGCAGGTGGCACAGTAAAGGGAGACCACAGCTACATCCCCTCTGCAATCAAAGGGAATGGCAATGGGGACAGGCGTGTTTCAGCACCCAGCAAGCACCAAGGAAGCTTGCTGATGGGAACTTCAGCAGGGTCCAGCAAGCCTGGGTGGTGCTGATGTAAAGCCTTTCCTGCACCTCCGTTGCTGGTGTTACCCATGTTAGCAAGGAAAAAAAACAAACAACCTATAGAGGGGAGGCAAGAAAGGCCTCCACATTTTGCAGTGATGCAGCATCACAGTTCTCACTGATACCAGAGCAAAGACAAGCTCTAGTGAAGCCCTCATTGGTTTTCAAGAGGCCCAGTCTGAGCTGTCTGCAACATTGCTCCCAGCAACTGTGCCAGGAGTGAGGCTTTCCTGTGAAAGGTCTTCCTAAAACTGAAGAGAGGAGTGGAGCTCATCCCCTTCACCATCTGTGAGCTTTCCTGGCCAAGAATGCACTGACTCTTCCTTCCTGAACTCTTCTTTAATAAGAGATGATAGGTGGTCACTATGACAGTGACCATTTACTTTAGCACATTTACCATTTGCTGTTTGTTGCAGAGAGATTATCCACCAAAGATTCGTTCTTTCATCAAACCACACATACTAGCGCAATTATTCTTCTTGAAGATGCTATTTCTGGGGACAGAGTTACAGCAAAGGAAAGGTGAGGACAGCCTGGGTGGCGCAACCAGTGAGTGAAGGTTTCATAAACATTGCTGTACTGTCCTCTACCATTATGGAAGTTACACACCCAGCTCCAACCCACTAGGCTCTGGTCCTCAGTGAAACGCCAGTGCACATCCATGTGGAATTGCAAGGACTGGGACAAAGGCTGGTTCATTATCACAATGCAAGCAGAAGGGAGCAGCAGCGGAGCTCAGAGACACCTAAACAGCAGTACTTTTTAGGTCTGGGCCAGTTCTTTACAGGTGCAATGACCTGGCAGGCTGCACCCTGGCCGAGCTCAAGCCCTAGGAAATACCTGGCCTGTGGGGTCAGGTAGCTCAGCCAGAGGACCAGCTCCCAGGGCACCATGGGGCATAGCACTCGCGTCATGGGGTAGAAAAAGGGCTAGACATTGTACTGCAAATGCGTGAGGTACAGTCCTCTCAGCAAAGTAAAGCCACTACCTAAAGCTCAAGTTCAGCCTGCAAGGTATGCTAGGTTTCTTGAAATGGATGGCACTCACATATCCAGTAGGAAACACTGATCACCTTCAGGAGCAAACCACAACCCAGCAGAAACTAGCATTGCTCCAATTAAACAGATTAGAAACTAGTACCTGGGGGCTACTACCTGCCTATCAGCAACAGGGAGTTAAGAAGAATTTGGGATTTCTAGTAAGGTCGACACAAACCTCATGAAGTTCAATAAAAGCAAAAGCAAAGTCCTTCCCTAGGACATCCCATGACTCTGCTGCCTGGGAAGAACCCCAGGCACCAGGACAGGCTCTGCAGAAAGGGACACGGGGGATCCTGGGGGGCATCAAGGTACCCCTACATCGGCAGCATGCCCTGTTGCAGCAATGACACCAATCTCAGCCTCAGCAAATGTGCAGGCAGAGAAAAGGGATTCCTCCCTTCTGTTCAGCACTAGTGACACCACAACCGGATTGCAGAGCCAGTTTGGGCTCCCCAGTACAAGACAGACATTGACAGACTGGAGCAAGTCCAGCAGAAGACATCAGGATGATCAGGGGCTGGAGCACAGGATGTACAAGGAGAAGCTGAGTGAGCTGGGTTTGTTCAGCTGGAAAAAGAGAGGGTGAAGGGGTACTTTACTGCTGCCTACAGACACTTAGCAGGAGGGTGCAGAGAAGACAGAACTGAACTCCTCTCAGAGGCGCACAGGGACAGAGTGAGAGGCAATGGGGATGAGCTGGAACATGGGGAATTACCATTAGATGTTGGGATTTTTTTTTTTCCTCTATGAGTGCAGTCAAACCTTGGGACAGGACACAGGAAGACTGAGGATTCTCCATCCCTTGAGAAATTCAAACCTCAACTGGACGTGGCCTTGAGCACCTGATGTAGCTCAGCTGTTCTGCAATTCGAGTAATGTCAGGCAAGACCAATTTCTCAGCAGAACAGTTGAGTATCACCATCAGTACTACAGGAAAACTTAATATCAGACTGTCACAGTGAAGATCACAGATGACAAAGACTGTCAAGGAAGTGAAAAGCAATAGGGAGAGGCTGTGGTCACAGATCTTCACTACCTAATAGACTGAAAACATAGAGGAGCTTTCACTACTATACACAGGTGTATGATGTCCAGGTCTGGTTTGCAAGGTACAATCCCCAATTTCAGATATAAATCTGTCCTGATGGGTCTTGTTTAAAACACACAGTTGAGGCTAGAAGAGCATACCAAACCTGGAAAAGGAGAGAGATCTAACATAGTATAGGAGACCAGGCCAAGGCAGACAGCAAAGCACCACCCAGAATTCAAACTAAAGGTGCATTTTGGGAGAGAATAGCCCATTAATATCATCAGCAAATTTAGTTATTTAGGGGGTAGCTGGGATTGCTCAGGCGGGACTGGAAAATCCTGCAAGTGGTTGCAAAAAGATTAGAAACAAAGCATGAGTGAGGCATAGACAGAAAACTCTGCATGTACCTTCCATGCATAGCAAGAAGGAGCAAAAAATCCAAGTTCCTGCAGGGAGCAGGGCCAGGGCAGCAGGCAGGCCTGGCAGAGAAAAATGAGCTTCTCAGCCTGGCCTATTTTGTAGCACACATTCTGGTCTGCTATGTAGGGGCTGCCAGCATCATCCCTCTACAGCAGCACCAAGGGTGGCACCTGAGTCACCAGCCACATCCTGCAAGCAGCTGCAGGAGGATCTGCATCCCTCCCACAGCACCTGTCACAGGAGCTGGAAGTTCTGGGAGTGCTGGGGCTTGTTTTCTTCTTTCTTTGATTGTTTCCTCTATTCACAGCTCAAGACTGGGTGTTTCTGAACTACAGTAAGTCTCTCTGCTGAGAAGGAGCACCACGTTTCCCTTCACACCATAATCAGTTACAACGCCAAGACAGATATCTGCACCTTTATGGAGCTGAGCCAGGCACATCTGAATCTCTTAATGCCATGCTGAACAATGCACAGAAGGAAATGCTCTATGACATCTCCAGCCTGTTAAAACAAATAACGAGGGATAAAGGTTCAAAAAACACTCAAGTGATATGAGATTAAGTCCCCTTTTTCACAGTAATTCAGACTTTACCTCACTGGAAGCCACTGAACATTAAATATTGAAATCACCTCTGGGAAATGGGTATGTTCTATAGACAAGAAAGCTCCCTTAGTCCTTTGACAGAGTTTTTTTCAGATGAAGGAGCAGATAACAGCACATGCCACACCTGGAAGCTGTCTTTTAAGACCAGAAGGGCATGATCACTGTGAGAAGATCGGATATTCTAGACAGGCTTACACTATCCTTTGCGTCATGTACATTCATTGAGCAGACTGTCTCCAGTGCTGGGGCTGTTGTCTTGGTGCTGGCCCCACTCAGGCAGGGTCAGAGCTTTGTTTCCATGCAACCTGCCTTTCAGAGCAGCAACTTCCTGACAGGCAACTTCCTTAACCCAACAGAGCTACTACTGAAATGAGAGAAAATATAGCTCCCCTTTCCACTGGTCCCCAGCTGTCCCCTTGGGAACTTGCAGGTCCTCCACAAATTACATGCATCTGCTGTTTCCATCCAAAAGATGGAGATGGCAATGCTCGCTGGGCAGCCTTCAAACAGCTTCTTGCTAGTGTGACTCATCTGTTACCTAGGAGAGGAGCAGGAGGGATGGATCCATCTGAGGCCATTCTGTAGGCAGGCTGCGCTGAAGCTGCCTACAGCTTCCATCTGCCTTCCAGGAAGGCTCAGCAGTCCCCGACCCTGCCAGGTGGAAGCAGCCTGGGGAGGCACACAAGTACACCCCACTCCCACAATGAGTGTCGAGCCACAGGGTAATGTGGGCAGAAGCATTCTCCTCCAGTTTCCTTCAGCTTTGCAGGAAGCCTACACCAGCATGCAGCCACAGGTATGTGGCCATGCAGAGAGGAGGTGACCATGTTTACATTAAGACCCTGAATGCAGCCTCCGTTCCCTGGCAGGGAAAGGAGCCCTGCAGTGAAGAGCCCCTGTGGCCTCAGTCACTGCTGAGGCCTGTTAATTTCTTTTGCCAACAGGGTGCAAGGTTGGCCTGTGGCAGAGATCTGTTTGAAAGAGCTGGAGTCTCACTGTGCAGCCTCTTCCACAGTCTCACATTGCAGTGCATGAGAGAGGGGGCAGCTGAGGACATACATGCTCAGCACACGGCAGCCCCAGCATAAGGGGGCTGCACAGGAGCCCAAAGTTCCCCAGTCCAGAGAAGTACAGACAGCTTGGGCTGACAGTGCAGGAGATAAAAGGAGTGAGGGACCAGCCGAGCCCTCCCAGCCACGTGGGACCCACAGCCCCCAGCTGGCTCCCAGCCCCCCAGTCCTGTGCTACTGGCCCCTGTGGCCCAGCCTTGATTACTCCCACATTTCCAGGGGCCAGGCAGCTCTCTTCTGCCAGGTTGTTCCCTTGCTAAAGCCTGCATTTGGGGCACAGGTCTCGGGGGTCTCGGGGATGAAAGCCCCCGGGGATGAATGGCACCATACACACAGTGATGGAAAGGCCAGCAAAATGGGACATTGACCAATAGTGTGCAGACCACAGCATCCTCCTGCTGTCCTCACTCCAGGCCCCGGGTTTCACACATTTCGCTTTCAGTTCCTTCTGTGCAAGTGAATCAGGTCTGCCATGAAGGCAAACCCCATCTCCCAGAGCTCCACTAATACTGCAGCTTCCAGCACTAATCCATGATTTAGATCCTAATGTGTGTGGCACAGAGAGCTCTGTGGGAGCACAAAGCTGCTGAGCTCCCGTCCCACGGTGCTTTCAATGGGATCAGCAGCTTTTTTGCCAGCTGACAAGAACAAAGGAAGGACACCAGCATCCCAGCTGGGTTAGGGGAGCTGTGGCGAGGACAGCATACTCAAGAGGCATCTTGCTTCCATGCTGTCCTTTGGCAGGCGGAAAGGATGGGCCTGCACCCACAGGGACCCATCTCTTCACCACCAGCTGCAGACAGGGAGGGGGGAGGATCACAGATACCAGGACAGGGGCAAATTCCCTCTCCCCTTGGTGACAAAGATCCTTTCTCCTCCCCTCTGCCTGGTTCAGAGTAGAGACACCAGGCCCAGCCCATATGCACAGAGAAAGGGAGGGGACAGCAGAGGCAGCAGTGAGAGCACACAGGGTGCAAATGTCAGCAGAAGTCATGCACAGAGCTGCTGATCCCATGCACCCTTCCCTTCCCACCCTTCACTCCCCAGGGAGTTGATCCAGATGGAGGGCACTGCCAGAAGCCACCCAGCACTGAGCCTGTCTAAAGGGTCAGGAACAGTGGGGTAGGGGATGCCAAACTCCGAACAGCAGCTTGAGAGGAGGGCCTTGGCTGAGGCAGGCAGGGAAGCAAGATGCACTCTGTCCCAGTGCAGAGGCCTGACCAAATTCACCCCTGATACAAACCAGCACCAGGCAGCTTGCTGCTGTCCCTGGGGCATCATTCCCATTCGCACCTGCCTGAGAGCCAAAATCTCCCCAAGGGTGCTAACCGAGACAGAAGCAAGGGGTTGGCACAAGGCAAGGGACATGCAGACCAGCACTTCACAGAGGGCACAAGGATAGGCTTGCTGCCATCAGGCAGCAGCAAGGAGAGGAGCCTACCTGAATCTTCACAGCGATAAGCACAGAGCTCAGCTCTTTGTCCAGCTCTTTCAGCACCGTGAGTTTCTTCAGGCGCAGACTGCAGAGCCTGTAAGACAGAGAGAATGGGACACATTCAGGCACCACCATCCCTGGGGCCCTGCCACATGGTACGTGGTGCTCGGAAGGCAGCCTGGATGCTTGGCCCAGCCACAGGCACAAGCTTGGCCGAGGAACACTGGCATTCATGTGCCACTGAGACAGCCCATTGGGGAAAAAAGGAAAGAAGGAAAATTAACAGAGCTAAAGCAGGCTTAAGGGATTAACATGCGACAGGAAGTCCAACAGCAGGCCATGTGGTAAAAGAGATCCCTTCCCAAGTAGGGCTGTTGCCAGCTCTGCTTAAATCTACCTTGGCCACAGTGCCGTTTATTTATAAACCAAAGCACTTAAATCCACTCTTATCCTGGACTTAGTTAAGGCAAATGTTCCCAGGCAAACATCACAACTCAGCTCTTCTCTTGTGCAGTACCACACAGAGCTGACTTGGGAAGCTGGGAGGCAGCAGCCCTGCAGGAAGCCTCATACAGCAGAGCCACCCTGACAACCTCAAATTCTAGGGACTCAGCATGGTAAGTGGCACTTCTAGGAAAAACCCACAAAGGAGCCTGAGGCTGAGTAAGAAGAGCTACTTTTGCTGCTTGAAGGATTAGTCAGTACCTGTGAGACAGCCAGCCACCCTGACCTCCTGCCTAGGAGCCTGCAGCAGGACTCCCGTGGAGACTGCTTGTGATGAACTATGTGTCAGGGAGCACAGGCCAGACACGTTTTTACAACAAGCAACACCGGCACTCGTGTTTTGCAAGCTAGCCTCTGTGCTCCATGCTCAACGTCTGCATTGACGCAGCCAGTGGTACCCAGGACTTTTGTGGATACCAGTGTGCTGTACCTGAGATTTAGGCCACCCTTCCTGGAGAACAGACAGGCCACTACCAAATACCTTTCTGTCTGACACACTGTGCTCTCTGAGGGCCAAATCTATTCCCCCTGCTTTTTTTTAGAAGGAAAAAAACCTGCTCTTGCTATGCTAACGTACAGCAACAGCGTAGAACAGCCCAGAGGTGGAACAACACTGGAAAGGGAAGGACAGAGAGCCATACTGCAGGACAGGTTTAGGGCTTAGCAAGCACTCACCTCCTACCACATCCCTGCTCTCCCTGCTAAAACGATTTTAGCTTGTGCAGAAGGTTTGCTGGACTGTGACTGCAACCCTGCTGCTCTGCTTTTTGACATTGGATAGCAGGGCATGGTGGAGACCAGAAGTCAGGAAGCTGGGAGTGCAGGCAAGCTCTGCCCACCTCTTTGCCAGACGGCCTGGATACCTTCAGTCAAAGCCCAGGGCTATAGCCCCCTAAGCCCTCGTACCCTGTGCCCCCCAGCACTGCAATCAGTGATCCCGTCTCTGTCCACCCTTCCCCTCTGAGCCTCTGCTTGTAGGAAGGGAGAAATCTTATCATCTAGGGCAGGCTTATTGCTCCCCATAAATACTTTGGCAATGTTAGGAGTGAGCTGCAGGGAGCGTGGCCAAAGACAAGGAGGCTACCTCTAGGGCAGGGAGAGCAGGACTGAGTGTTAGCCAGAAAGATGGGGTACAGCAACTACACCAGATGTACTAAGGAAAAGCTTGCAGAGGCTAAGCTTAGCTAACACCATCACTAACCAGTGCTAACTTTGACTGTCCCTAGTCCCTAGACAAGCCACAGAGAGGAAGGAGGCTTGAATGTGTAAGCCAAGGATAGAACATCTACTCAAACTTTCCATACAAGCACTGACCTAGTCATGATAGTTACGTGCATAGAAGAGTTATCCCCAAAAGACTAAAACTTCCATAAGGATATATCCAGTCTTAGTTTGAGGATATTGAAAGATTATAATTCTACCTGGCAGTTGTTCTTGCTGTAAAAACAGTCCTTATCCAAACTAGTCCACTCATTAGCTCTTCATGTTCCACTCAGGAGTCCCTTCAGTACCTGGTATTTTTCCTCAGAGAAGAATATGTGCATACTGATCAGCTCTGCCCACTTGGGCAGCTCTTTCATCTCCGAGAAGGCACTTTAAACCTTCTTTCTTCTTTTTCTATGCCTCTCCAGTTTTCAAGATCTCTTTTACACAGTGGAAGACCCTATACTCTGCCCCTGGTCCTTCCCATACCACATGCAGGAAGGTGGTTACCCCAGATTTGTGTCACCGCTAGGTGTTTAGTGCCTGTGCTAGACAGCAGTGGATTTCACACTAATCCCTGCAGATCTCTATAGGACAGGATCGATCCACAGTGATCAGAATGGTATGCCTCACCAAACACTTCAGCCAAATCCCATGGCAACTACGCCATGGTCTTGCCCTGAACTGATCACTGTGTGATCCCCCCAAGTCACTGAACTTTTTGGTACATGAGTTATAAATCTGGATCTGCTTGCTCATATAATTAAACAGGATAAGTAGTAACTGCTCTTGAGCTGTGGAACTACTGCAAGGACTTCCTCCATATCAAGCTGTGGTGAACATGACTGTGTAACACTCTGACTCAAAACAGTGACTGACAGCAACAAGGAAAATGAGCTCCAACAGGACAGTTTGACAGCCTCCTGGAACTCCAGTACTCCTACCCTCCACTACTGGTCATTTACTGGTAAGAGGTACTCACCTTTTCCTGGTATTATTGCTTATGGGCAGCAAAAATGCTGCCTTCTTTCCATCACTAACTGGGATGGTCAGTCAGCCAAAAATCCCCTTTCCTCATCATGGCTTTTTAAACATGCAACAAAATAAAGCAGCTCCTACTTTTCACTCATTCCGCTCTACCTCCTTGTTCAACCTGGTACCAAGCAGGAGCACACACCCCACCACTACCACTGGCCGAGGAGGTAACAAACAGGAGTACATGTACAGATATACACACACATTCACACACCCATCACTGCCACCACCCCCAGCTAAGATGATGGTAACGAAAAGGAGCGCGCACACATACACACAAACACATGCATCCCGACAGCACCACCCTGGCTAGGGAGCATGCGCATGTGTGCACCGACACACATGCACGCAGACACACATTCTCACTCACCTTAGCTAAGCAAGCACTAACTTTTGAAGTTGGGATTCTGAACTGCAAGCAATTACATCAAAATAAGACCAGGGGTGGGGGAGGGGGGCAGCGCGGACAGGGAAGAGAAAAAGGAGCAAACCCAAGAACTCACTGAGTTAACTGTCTGATAGCATTAAAACCTCAAAGATAAAATTTTCTAGAGTATGCAATTTTCTAGAGTATGTTCTTAGACACTGAAGTCATACTTTGAAAACACCGCAAAGCTTCATTCTAGGCACACTTTTTCCTTTTTTTTTTCCGCTCCAGGTTGCAGCTTCCCAGCTGTTTCCTTCCTCTCCAGTTAAATGACGAATTTGGAGTTTTTGCTCTGAAGTCTGACGATACACTTATAACACTGTCACCAACCTGGCCTGTGAGTTCATCTTGAAAAGCAAAGCTCCTGTAACACATGCATTTTGTGAAATTCAGTGCCAGCAGCAAAGCACTGGCTCCAGCTGTTTTTTGCAAATTCATCCAACTTCCTGTCCCAACAGGTGACTGCTGCTCACAAATGACACACACAGTGGCTAGTTTTACTGTTGCATTTCAAGGCCAATGTTTCAGTGAATGCCACACATCTCTAAAGCCCCTGATGCCAGGGGAATAAAAACCAAAGGTACTGTTCCTAAGGCTGGTAGAGAGGGAAGGAAAATGAGATGAAAATACATCTGTGCACAGTACAGGAGAAGCAGGTTAGAGCCTGTGCTTTTCTCATAAGCCTGAGAGCAACTAGTAAGGAGAGGAAAACAATTTTGACCTAGCTACAGCCTCAGCAAAAAGATTTGGGGGTACACCGTACACAACGGGGGAGCGGCAGCTTTAGAAGCACCCTGCAAAACTGCAGCTGCACAGCTACCCAAAACTTATCCACTAACTGGCAAAGGTGCCTGTCAGAGAAGCAGCTTGAGCTCTGTGTAAACAAGGAACGTCAGATATCTCTTTTTGCACAGGACACAGGCATTGAGGAGGCAGAGGTGCTGAGGAGCACTTCTACTGGGATCATACATGGAAGGTGAAGGCTAGAGCGTAAAGCGAGGCAGCAACGAGGGCTCTTTGAATGGTACATCTGGCCACTAACGGGATATAAAATCTTAATAGCAGTTCTCACACTCCTTTTGAGCAGACATGGTACATTTTTTCTGCTGGCACTCTGGGCTATTCACTGCTTGGCTTACTGACCACTGGTGAGTGCCAGCTCATTCTCTGGGCAGGATCATCTTCCTGAATATTTGCACTGATTTCTTCAAGAGGCAGCAGCCAGGCTCCCTGGCTTTTGCCTGTAGCTCCCATGCCACCTACAAATTTTAGAGCACATCCACCTTTCCCAGCACTGGCCCTCCACACATCTTTGTCAACACTACCACCCTTATTAGACGCACAGTTGTGGGCTAAGCCTTCAATAGCAGCAGTTTATTGGCTCCTCAATATTTTTCCTGACTTTGACAGCTCAGGTTTGCCTTTCAAGGTGATATCCACCTCTGACACTGGGCTTCTGGAGAGATGCCAGATGTTCAGTGGGGCTCACAAGGTATGGGACACTCCTGCACCCCTGCTCAATTGCTGTGCAGCATATATTTTCTGCAAAGCTTCCCACTAGAGGGCAGAAGGCAGCCATCCGGGACCAGACACCCTGGGCGATGGGGATGCCCTGCAGCTCGCCCTGCAGACTGGCTTGTCTCATAGAGCGGTTTGTAAAAGCAGCTTTATCCCCTCTGATCAGAGGGGTGTCCAGCCTTATAGCTCACCTCTGACAGTGGTCAAAGTAGGTGCCAAGGGAAGAGCACACAAACAGGGTGCGAGCAGTGAGATACTGCCCAGAATGCACCCTCAGCCACAGCTTTCTGAAGTCAAGATACTCCCTGAGCCGTAAGTGATATGTATGCACGAGACACCACTGATGCACGCAGAGGGGAGGAGAGACCTACTCCACTTTCAGAAACCAAGTCCTTGTTGCCAGCAAACAGGAGCGATGAACTGGGACAGCAGCAGGCTCTTCATCAGTCTTTGCACCTCAGGCATCAGGACAGGTAGGTGGGCCAATTACATGCTTTAAGATGAACTGGGATGAAGGCCGTGCTTTGAGAGCCTCCCCAAGGGAAAGTGTGACAGAGCACGCAAGGCTTGCCTCTCTGCCCTCCAGCAACTGCAACTGCTGCAGCCTGGGAAGGGCAAGTAAAGCAAGCTGCACTGAAGTGGTGTAACACAGTAGGACACAGAGGCCAAAGGCCATGATGGTACCCTCCTGAGGTCCCCAAGGAAAGAGCTAGGGCCAGGGCCACCAAATACCTGCTGTGTATCAGGTCCCCAGCTGAGCTACGCAAGGTGGTGTGCAGCACAACAGCCCTGGTGCTGACCAGCAATCCTCTCCTTGCCATGAGAGAAGCATTTTGGCTCCCCAGCATCCTGGCTGACAGCAGCTTGCTACCAATAGCACATGTCTGCCCTGCTGCTGGATCCAGAGCAGACCTCTGTTACTGCAAATTGCAGTAGGTTTGACTCATCCCAATTCCCAGGTGACCTTCCCAAAGGAAATCCCAAAGCATGAGGGACAGGAAGACAAAACTCCCCAGGTTGCTATGTCCATTTCCTGTAAAGCATTTCACAGCTTATGGCTCTGCCTGCCTTAGGAAATCCAGCCTGTTTTCCCATGTGACTATTCCTGGTCCCCTTGATCATCCCACCTCCTTCGAAGTGCCTCTAGACAGACCAAACTCAAGGCCAAAGCTCAGATATTCTGGAGGACCAGCTGACACTCTTCTTCCTTTCGTCTCTGAGGGTTATAACAGCAAAGGAATGTAAAGCCCGTGCTGAGAAGGGATTCCTTCTCCCCACAGCAGCAAGTTGGACGCACTACACAGGAGGAGGACAGAGGGCAATGGCATGCTGGGAACAGCAAAAAATGCCAGTGTCGGCAGGGTACACATTACCAAGAGCAAGATGGCATCCTCAGTCAGGACAAATGGGAGGCAAAGGGAAGAAAAGAGTGTCCTGCAAGTAAATACATCCACCTTTCCTTGTCTTCATAGCTGGCTGCCTGCAGCTGCCCAGAGTCCTCCTCACAGCCTTGTGTCCTGGCTAGCAAATGCCTCCTGGGATGGCCGTTCAAGACAGACTGCAGCCTCTTTTCAAAGAGGCCAGTGCAGGCCCTGCCAGTGCAGCACATAAAATGGGAGCTTGAGCTCCAATTGAATTGGAGCACCTCATTTTTTCATTTTTCCTATCCTCACAGGAGAGAAAGCCCACCCCAACAGCCCCCACTGTTCTCATCTGACTGGGTAGTCCATTCTTAATTGCATGAAACATCACCATTTCACCATGTATGTACATTTATCAGGCATGCCCTGCTCCGATCAGCCCTTGGAAGAGTGCCTAACTTTAACCTCTGGGCAGATGATCTCAGAACAGCTCTGGTTTGGTCAGTGACTTGCCCTTGAGCTTGCTGCACCCAGCTGCTCTATTAAACACACTCAGAAGCGGCTTTCTCACTGTAGGGACCATGCATGGCCCAGGAGCTCTGACTGCCACCCAGAGGCCTCCTGGGAACAGCCTGCTCTCCCATCACAAGCTCTTAGCACTCCTCTGTGTTCAGATATATATTTCATAGTATTGCAATACCACTGAGACGGCACAGTCACTCACAACAGATGCATGGGCAAGAGCAGGTCACACCCCAAAGAGATACAACAGTTAGGACAAGGCATAGCAGACATGCCAGGCTGGGACAAATGCACCTACAAGATAAGGAGGCTCAGAGAAGGGACGAGAATATCAACAGACCGTGTGCATGTCTCAGCCAGCAGCAGTAGCTACTAGTGATCACCAACAGCAGCTATCGGAGCTGCTTGCTACCTGTGTGAAAGCAGCCAGGTGTGAGGGAGGATTGAGCACAGCCAGGCAATGGATTCACTGATTTTGTCTGGAAGACGTAAGATTCACTCAGCATTACAGAAGAGATCTGTTGGATTTATCTAGGAGAATGTAAAAATCTTTCGAAATACCTAACATGATGTGCAAAATCATTCTCTTCCCCAGGGCTTTCAAAACTGGTATCTGACAGCTGTAGCCAAACTGTAGCCAAAACTGTTCTTGGACCAGCCACTATGTTTCCTTCACAGGATTTTAACAGGTTATGCTTTTGACACATCCTTGTTAAAAAAGATCAGCCAAGATGCATTATTGAGTGTACACCATCCCTAAACACAGGGAGTCACACGAGGAGAGGCAGACAGAACAGCAGCAGTGCTGTGCTCAGGGTGCATAGTACTTTTTATTCCAAAAAGCTACATCTACTACAGGCTTTCAGCTGCTTTTGTGCTGCCAGAATGTTAACATGCAGGCAGCGCACGTGGAAGAAGATCTGAACTACGCGTAACACTGCATTTCTAATGAAAGAATGGCTGTTCAGGAGAAGAGCTAACATCAAGATCCCTCTGCTTGTTTGCTGCCCATGGCATAGCGAGGAAGGGTGGGCTGTTCCAAGCAGCAGGGCAATGAAGCAGAGGCGTGAGGATGCATGGCTTCTTCAGTGCCATTGCAGAGGTCACGGCATCCCAAATCAGGACAGAGCAGGCCTGGCTGCAATGAAAAAACAGCTCTCACACAAATGCTTGGCCAAGGCCAAATCAGGGAGTATTCCCTGTTCTCCAGCATCCCCACTGAGCACAGACAGCAGTGACACTCTCAACCCAGCAAAGTTGCCCAGGATTCCCACTGGTCAGGCCTGCAGCTGACTGCTCCACAGCACGTGTGCTTTCCTTCTCAAAGCTGCTGAGCCGTTCTCTGAGATTTGGATGTGCCTCATCACATGGGCAAGTAAGTGTATGCCAGCATCTCTCCATGCAAATTGCTTCTAAACAAGACAGATGCTGCTTTCTTAGACCAATGCAAATGCCATAGTGGAGGCAAGCCAAAGATAAGCCTATATGATGAAATGCTCCTTTCCTGTTCCCAGGCAGATTTGTCTAAGCATAACTGTCCTTTGCAGGCTCCATAGCTACAGACAGCTCCACAGTTTTGGACTCAGCAATACAGGCAGCCTTGAAAAGAAGTGGATCACTCTGGCCTGCTAGCTGTTTGTGTTGTGTACTTATGTCTAGGACACAAGTGCTTGCTGCTATGCTCACTTCCAGGACGGCTCAGTGTGGGACACTGTACACAGCAAAGAGACAGCTAAAGTCAATATATAACCTGAATGCCACCTCTTGACCTGAGGACTGCTTCCTCCTGAGAAATGCCACCTCCTGACCCATCCCTGCTGTGCACTGAGAGCTCCCACATGCTTTGCCAGCCTGGAGAGCAAATCACACACAAGACATGCATCCTTCCTACCCTGATCTCAGGGGTCATTTCTGCCAAGGCGGCTAGTCCCACTGTGGGAGGAAAGAGCTACTGGGTGCTACTGTGGCACCAAGCCTACCCAGCACCACGAAGTCCCAGGCAGGATGAACACTGCCTGCATATGCAGCCAGCACAGAACCTGGGCAACAGGAAACAGACCACTACAGCCTGTCAGCATTGGCGGGGCTATTCCTGCCCCTCCTTCCTAGCAAGTCCCCTCTCTCCACACAGAATTCAATATAGAGCTCTGCCCAGCAGAGCGTATGAATTAGCAGGGACTGAACCTACCAGTACAGAGAGTTAAGGCGGGTACCACTGTTCACTGATGCAAGCTACAGCCTTCTGCACATCCAGCTTTCCTCTGTGCTGTTAAACACTTTCTTTCTGAGCCAAGCCACTCCAGGGAAGAGCTGCTCCATCTCTGATGGTACTGACACAGCCCTGGACCCAGCACAGCTACCAGCCAGGCTGCTACTGTTTTATCACAGCTTCATGCCTGCCTGTAAAGCTGCACTAAATGCCTCCCTCACACAGTACAGCTCTGCTCCACAAGCCTTCAGCCTGCCCAAGTAGGCAATATAACTACAATAAGGCAAAATGTAAGGAACAGGTACCAATAACAAGGCAGAGAACACCCAGCTCTCCGCTCCAATGGGGCTGCAGCTTTGAAATTTGAACTGACACATTTTGCTGCTCGTGAGGCTTCCCTACACCCTCCTTATACCCAGTGATGTGGTTTTTAAACTTCTCTCCTTCTACTCTTCCATAAATACTAAATGAAGTTGCCCAACAGGTTCAAAAGCTAAGAGGAAAGACTAAAATACTCTTGGGAACTGCATGTTTCCCAACAAAATTCTTTTCCTGCTAACATTTAATCTGATTCAAGTCAGATACAAACCTGGCACCTCATAATGTCATTTTACAGTCTGGTCATGCTGCTCTGTGCCAGAAGACGTCAGCAACAGAAACATGCCCTACCAAAGCATCATGGCCTAGTATTATCATCCCCAGGATCTGCACAGGCTGGAACACTGCTATTTTAATAAAGTTGCTGTGCTGTCTTCCCAGATGTATTCAGACTCTGTTCACAGCCTTCCTCACTAGTTTTGCTTTAAATTCTTTCCTTTTAACCAGCTTGTAATTTGGTACCCGCCTGTACTTTCTTACCACAGCGCTGCTGAAAGCACTGCTTTTCACCCACCACCCCAGACCTCTGGGTCTATGGGGACTACTTCCCAGGTGGAAGCAAAAGGGATCCATGCTGACTAAAAGTGAGCTTAAATTTTCTGCATTGAGTTTCCCAACAGGTTTTTAACCTCTCTGATACACAGGTCTCTTAACCCACTGATCTAGATCAGTAAGGCCACTGTGCTGACCACACACGACACAAAGACCCTTGTCTGAAAAGTGGGGGAGCTATGAAAGGACAGTTGTTAAAATCATGTGAGAACAACCACTCTGTGCATTCAGTGTCAAAAGCAAGATCAGAGTGTGGAATGGAGACCCTGAGATCTGCCTAGAAAGACCTTGTGGGCTGCTCCAACCTGTCATTGTCACACGCATACCAGAGCTATCTCACACACCACATGGCAAGGAGCTGCAGCTTACCTGGTGCTACAGAGCAGCTTTCCTTTTAGCACAGAGATGCCTGCAAACACCCTAGCATACACTGCTTCTCTTTGTCAGTCAGCTTCAGAAATAGCCCCTCCTGGCAGAGACGTCCATCTTGTCACACCACTGCAATCCAAAGCTGCTGGGCTGTTTCTACCCAACCACGCATGCTTTTCTGAGGCAGAGATGCCACACAACCCATGCAGCTGGAGTGGAAGTGAGAAGGCTGTACACATTGCTATGGCTCGCGCTAGATCCCTAGCTGAGGGGTACCATGGTATTTACCAGAAAACCCCAGCAATAGAGTAGTGCCTTGTGCTCAGGTCCACCCCTGTAACATCAGGGTCTCTGGGAGGAGGCACTGAGAAGCATGGACTGGCAGCCCTGCAAAAGTAGAGGAGCTGTGTCCAGGGAGCAGCCTGAGCTGCAGCGGGCCAGAGCAAAGGCAGTATCCCCTTGAGGACCTCTCCAGGCAAAGCACGCAGGCAGCTGCTGCCTGCAGTCATTCATGCTCACTGGTACCATAAGATTTCCCAGCAGGCCGCCAGGCTACCCAGCAGGCACAGTCCCTGCTCTCAAAGGTGCTGCAGCTTGAGCTCAGCAGCATCAGACTCACAGGCTGACGGGGTCCTGGGG